CTCAATGTATTGGAAGGAGACAGCTAGTTGGGATGATTGCATAGTGTGTCAGACGCCTAGATACAAATAGTTTGAGGGTGAGAAGAATGATTATAAAAAAAAAGCAACAAAGAATTCCCCAGAAGATTGTGAGATACTTTCATTTGATTCCAAGACTTCAAAGACTGTTCATGTCATCCAAAACTGCTTCATTAATGAGATGGCATGCAGAGGGCCGAATTGATGACGACAAAATGAGATATCCTGTTGACTCTCTTGCCTGGAAAATTTTTGATACTTTGTATCCCAAGTTTGTGAGTGAGCCTCGCAAAGTCAGACTAGGTTTAGCAGTGGATGGATTTAATCCATTCAAGGCAATGAATGTTGCTCACAACAGTTGGCCAATTATTGTGATGCCCTATAATTTGCCCTCGTGGTTGTGCATGAAGCAACCTCATATGATGATGACATTGCTCATTGATGGTCCTTCTTCACCTGGCAATAACATTGATGTCTACTTGCGCTTGTTAGTAGATGAACTAAATGAATTGTGGGAAAATGGTGTTCAGATGTACGATACAGAGACTAATCGAATATTCCAAATGCATGCAGTCTTACTGTGGACAATAAATGATTTTCCTACATATGCGAATTTGTCTAGATGGAGCACGAAAGGCGCTTTAGCTTGTTCTTGTTGTAACATATGTACTCGACATCTGTATTTAAAGAATGGAAGGAAAATTTGTTACATGGGGCATCGCCACTAGTTGAATGTGAGTCACAAATTTCAAAAAGATGGTGCGTCGTTTGATGGAACTTTTGAATCTGAACCATGTCCAACTTGGTTATCAGGGGCTAATGTGTTACAACAGCTAAGGCCTAAGCATCAACCAACTAACAGATGAAAAAGAACTAGGAAAGGAAAGGAAAAAAAGGACAACGAGGAGGATCATAATTGGAAGAAGATGAGTATTTTCTTTGAGCTTCCATATTGGGAGCATAATTTGATTCACCACAATCTTGATGTAATGCACATTGAGAATAATGTGTGTGATAATGTATTATGGACGATATTAAATATTGATGGGAAAGAAAAGGGCAATTTAAATGCTCTTTGAGAGTTGCAAGATATGGGAATTCGAAAGGCATTACATCCTAAAAAAGGGTTTGAGAACATGTATATTTGCCACGTGCATGTTTTGCTATGAACAATAGAGAGAGAGGTTTGTTTTGTACGCTCCTGAAGAATATCAAAGTTCCAGATGGGTATGCATCCAATATTGATAGCATATCTAGACTTAAAAGTCACGACAACCATATATTGATGCAACAAATACTTCCAATAGCAGTGAGAAATTTGTTAGCGAAGAAAGTGGTTGAACCATTGATTGAGTTAAGCAATTTCTTCAGGCAGTTGTGCTCTAAAACTCTAGAGCCAGATGGATTAGATTGTCTTCAATCCCAAATTGCTCCTACACTTTGCCATCTTAAGAGAATTTTTCCTCCATCATTTTTCGATACAATGGAGCACTTGCCCATTCACCTAGCAGAGGAGGCCAAGTTGCCAGTTCAGTGCAATATCACTCGATGCACTTTATAGAAAGGTGTGTAATTCTACTCCAATTTACATTTGTATTCATTTGTTTGTTTATAATTGAATGTTATGTGTGCATTTGTTTGTTTATAGGTATCTTATGACACTTAACTCATATATGCGTAATCGAAGTCTTCCAGAAGGTTCAATTGCAGAGGGATACTTAGTTGAAGAGTGTATGACCTTTTGCTCAAGGTACTTGGATGATGTTGAGTTAAAACTGAATCGACCAATAAGGAATTATGATGTTAGAGACAATCTTGGGATATTACTGGGTCGTGCTTTGGGAAAAGAAAAAGGGTTTGCGCTAGATAACACATCATGTGTACAAGCTTATCGGTATGTGTTATTTAACACTACTGCAGTTGTCCCATATCGAGAGTAGGATACACACCTTTGTTCCAAAATTTTATTGATACCATTAATAAGTATCTTGCATTTTATAAGTACTTTAAATGTGTAGAGAGCATTGTGATTTTATTAAGCAGTGACATCACCGTCTCAAAGATTTTGATGTGGCATTTTCAATTCTCATATTTTCAATTTTTAATTCTCTATTAGTTGATGTTTAATTTTCTTAACTTTATAAAAATAAGTTGAAGAGCTTCTAGCTATTGAAAATTGTGTGTTGTCAGATGAGATTAAAACTTTGGCATTGGGACCTAGTAAAAAGGCCACGAGATTTAGTGGGTATATAATTAATGGTACTAGGTATCATACGAGGAGTCGTCAGTGGAGAACAAAAACTCAAAATAGTTGGGTTATGGAGAAAGCAAAGACTTGTAGCTACGCAAGTACTGGAGACATGAATCCTGTGAAAGGTGAAGTAGCATACTATGGATATGTGACAGATATTATTGAATTGTATTACTCATACGACCATAGATATGTGTTATTCATGTGTGACTGGATTGACAACATCAAAGGACTGAAGCAGTATGGTTTTGGTTTCACACCTGTTAATTTCAATCATTTGTTATATACAAAGAAACAAAATAGCGATGAGCCATTCATCCTAGTATCTCAGGCACAACAAGTCTTCTATGTTAATGATCTTGTTGGAGCTGATTGGGATGTTGTAGTCAAGATGAAACCTAGAGACTTGTATGAGATGTGTGGAGAACAACCAACTAATGATGGAGTACATCACAATGAAGTGGAAGGATTTGGCGACCAGGGGTTAGATGCAACTTCGTTTGCTTGTGAAGAGGACATAAATTGGGTTAGGTAAGGTGAATTTGGAACAACTATTGATGAAACTATTCAATAATAGACAATGAGGAGCATCTTAGAACCAACTAGGACATAGTTAGTACAATAGTCACATGCAAGACACATTTATTCAATATTATTATTCATTTACATCTGGTGTCACTCTCACTCTCACTCACACAATTACAGGACAAGTAGTACAAACATAAAGGACATGCAATACAAGTATTCGCACGCCTTACATGTTACCTTTGCATTATTATAGAAGACGATAATACGTTCATAGTACATGGAACAGACACACCCACATGGTTTCACTATGCTTCTGGATATCACTCAGAATCAAAAGGTGTATTATCAGAAAATGAGGTAGTGTCATCAAACTGGCATTTATTTGGTCATCTTTTATTTAGAACACAATAGACTTGATGATCATGATAATTAGACCATTTGTCATGATGTCGAAGAAGAAGTTCTATGAGGGGTTGGACATAATCTAGAGGATAGATAATCATGTATTTGGATCTATGCCATTAGTTGTGCAGATCTGAAGTTGATTGTTGTGGAAAATTGCAAGTTCATGGAAGTATTTCCAATCATCATGACCACTGTGAAGAGTAGCACGATCAAAAACTATTAAACTTGGATACCATCAGTAATGGGAATGAATTCCCTTGCATAAGCATAAGTGGCCAACACAAACTAAAGGTCAGTTTTGGAACTACTTAAAAAAGTTTAACTTTTGTTAATAAAAAAAAATAAAATTCATGAAGAAGAGTCAAATGCCACGTCAATTATTTTTACTAATAAAAAAGTAACTTTTTTATTACATTGTCAACCGCATTAACTAAAAAGTACTAAAAATGTTATAAAGTCAAAAAATTATTAAAAAAACCAACCTCAAATGCCCAATAAGTGAAAGAGAAATGAAATGTTGGTATGCAATGATAATACAGTGTGATTAGTAGTTTGTAGGATTGTTAATATATTCCTAATTAGTTAACCAAAGTAGAGAGGAATTATTTATTTATTTATTTATTTTTTGGGTTATGATGGAGGCCGAAGGCCAAGCAAGGAAAGCAAAAAATAGAAAAGAAAAAGAAACTCAAGTAACAACAGAACTAGCAGCTCCAACATGCTGCCTATCTCGCCATAGAAATTGGCCCAACTCCGCTGGAGCACTCCATAACAACTAATTAATGTGTCATGACCACAACGTCTCCTTTGCTAACTCATCCGCACAAACATTCACTTCATAAGGAACATGGTAGACCTCATAGCACCAATTCTGATTCAAAAGCTTCTAAATCTGCTTTATGAGAGAAAGTTATATAAACATATTATTTTTAGAGGCAATAACAAAGAAATATACAAAAAAAATAAAAATAAAATAAAATTTTCCCCCTTAAAGAATTATTTCATTTCTTATTTTGGGCTTGTTGCTATGTGCCTAGATTGGTATGCTGTTGTTGAGTACTTAATAGTTAAAGTTGCCAATTATTGTAGGTTAACACAAATGCTGACGAGTCGATGAAGAAGTTTATTTTGGCCTTTGTTGGGAAAAAAATGGAAAGAGTGGAAAGCTAGAGTTAAAAAAAATGAGGTATATGCCATTCGACAATGATGTTGATAGGTTAACTCATTGACCCAAAAGAGTACATGAGCATCAATGGCAGAGCCTGGTCTATTATTGGGGCACTCGAAAGGCACATCTATCATTTAATATTGCTAGTTCAATGAATTGCTTGTATTAAATTGTTTATTGAATTCTATTGTAATCTCATAAGATGAGTTTGTTAATTAATAAATTATCTTGTGTTTGTGTTCATACATATAGAGAAAAAGTACGAAAAACAAAGAAATTCGGAATAAGACATTAAATCACATAATCGGCAGGAAACCATCCTTAGTTGTTCGAATAGAGGTATATAGTTTCTTTATATTTCAAATTGAAATTGTATATTTTGATTTTGTTACTTAATTTTAATTGTAATTATAGGAAACAAATAAGAATAATGGAGTTCCTGTAACTCGCTTAGAGGTGTGGATGGCTGGGTACTCAAAGGATAACAAACCAAGTATTGATAAAGTTGCTGAGGTCATGGTATGTAGCTTGGTTGTCTCTCTCTCTCTCTCTCTCTCTCTCTCTCTCTCTCTCTCTCACACACACACACACACACACACACACAATTATGGCTTATCATCATATACTTTACGGCACCATTATTATATACTTTGCAGCACAGTCAAAAGAGAGGAATGCTTGGGCTTTAGTGGTTGTGGCTGCAACTGGTGCTGCAGCTGTGTTAACTGCTAGTGCTTTAGCTATGGCTACAGCTGTGATTGTTTTCATGATATTCTTATCAATTTTGTTAATATAAATTTTATTGGTGGCTAATTAACTAATTAACAATTGCAGACACAAATGAAGGAGCTTGGGGCGCAATCAAATGCTACAGATGAAGAGATTATCACACAGGTTCTAGGGCCTGAGCGACCTGGTCGTGTTCGAACATATGGATTAGATCCTTCTCCAACAAATGTCTTTGGAGGTGGATATAGGCAATCACAAGAACAAACTCGTATCATCCAAGTGCAAGTCCAAGAGCAACTTAGCCAATATAAAGCACAAATGGAGATGCAAATGAAGGAGATGATGGATGCTATGCTTAATCAACATAAATTACAAATGGAGATGGAAAGCACAATCCAAGCTCAACAAGCACGAATAGAGCAAATGGAGTCTCAATAGGCCATGGGTGGGCCTGTTGCGCTAGCTGCTACACATGTGCATTCACAACAACAATCACATGCATACACCTCATCGTTTAATTGCCATCATTCGTCCGAGGAAGTGAGTAAATAGTTAATTATGAAATTTTCAATATGAAATTTTATTCATGTTATTTGTTCATATCAAATGCAGGTTCACATATCAAAGATATGAAAGAAGAAGAAGAAGTAAATAGGACAATTTTAATGAAAGAAGGCAAGGTTAGAGCTGTTCCTAATCTTTTCTTTTACTGATTATTCTAGCTCTAAATTTTCAGCCTCATGTTCCTAATCTTATCTTATCTTGTATCTTCTCTTTAATTTTTTTGCTATTTTGAAATGATTTTTAAATTTGTTGGGGGTAATAGGCTCCCTTACTTTCAAATGGGATGTTCCTGAGTTTAGATTAACCTTGTGCAATCTTGACCATTCACAGTGGTGATCACTGATTAGGTTTCAAGTCATTAGCTGCCTTAGATTCACAGTGGTGATCACTGTTTTCTTGGTATGTTACACAGGTGTGTAGCGTTAAATGATTAACTGTCAAACTTTGTTTGATTCTAGCTTTGTTTGAATCGAAAAATGATGCTTTTTGTCCGAGTGCATAAGCACTTGAATAGCTGACCATTCACTTTCACCGTAATCTCTTAGCCTTTTGCCTTGTGTGAGGTATTTTTGAAGTAACTTGAACCTTTGAACGACTTTGTTGTTGAAATGTGTAAGTTTGCTGAGAAAAAAGTATGCGTTATGCTAATAGCACAACATTAAATTTAGATATCAATGTAAAATGTGGTGCATAGATTACTTTTGTCCAATTTGACATGAATTATGTGATGATTAAGTGCAAAAATGGTTATTTGAAATAGAGATTGGAACTTACGGTTGGAATGATTTGAAAAATCATGATTACTTCTATCCAGTATGAATTTGAATTTTGTTTTTATAGATTTCATTATAATGTATTTGGCTTAGTCTAGTGGAGGATTTGTTCACTGAATTATGAATTTATTTGTTGATGGAATCTCCTAATTTGATGATGGGTGATTGTTTCAGGCATCTAAGCTCCGTGAGAAGTTTGACGCCAACAAGCACGTGGATTGAAGAGTACATATATTTTGTGTAGTAAAAATCTCATGAAATGTGCAATTAATTTGGTTCATAGACGAGTTGAGTACTTTTATGTACTTTCCCTAACTCTGTACAACGTTTTATGATGTGTTGATTACAATATATTGGATGTATAAAAATTATAATTAGCTTGATGCATGGTTGGCGCATTGATATGCGAATTTGAGCCATATGTGTTCGTAATTAAATTTTCAAGCTGCCTTCTTTAGTTAAATTCTTTGGCTTGTGCTATATTTCAGAATCTTGGCAAACGGGGCCTCATAACTGTGTTGAATCTTTTAGTGCATATCTTCTGAAATGCTATGCTTTGGACAAAATATTGATTGTAATTCTTCTCATATTTCAAAATCAGGAGGGGGGGAAAGGTGGCGTTTTTTCAAAAAATGCCACTAAATGACATCATAAGTTAGTTTGTGACGGAAATAGAAGCGAACGTAAAAAATTTTGTGGCGTTTTAAAAAACATCGTCTAATAGTTTTCGCGATGGTTTTCAAACTTTGTAAAGTTATTGCGGCGGCCGTATCAACGACGACAAATTTAAACATCGTTGCAGCGTTTCACGGCATTTTTCAGGCTTTTAGTGGCGTTTTAAAAACGCTGCTAAAACTCAAATTCCATGTAGTGTATTAGAGGGTACTTGGGTAATTTTATTTTTTCTATTAGATCAGTTGTAAAAAAAACTCTGACAATGAGACATTTAATTTCTAACAAATAAAGATAGAATCTACATTTTTGACAAAATTCAAATTGACCCTTAAAATTAATAAACAATGATTAACATATTGCTACAAAGTACATAGGTACTATCATTCATGCCATAATAACAAGAAGATATGTGGTAGGGGCTTGCCACACCGCTAACAAGTTTGAACATCAGTCGATGAATTAATAACATTATAAAGAACATAATCACAAATTATTAATCAAGTATTTTGACTTTTTATCTTATTAGATAAGCATTGATGGAGAGTAAAAGGACCAGAAGATCATGTTTGGCACTTCCATTGAGAAAGGACAACTCAACTTCCATCAGTCCTTAGCCAAAAGATTGGATGAGGATATGTGATGCATATATTCTTTTGTCTTTTCTGAGTTTTGGTAAAGTCACTTAAATTAAAACCATAGAAGGCAATTTAAGTGCGAGACCAAGTACAAAGCGCAAACAATTGCATTAGCAAAAGCAAGGTTTTGTTTTCTGTAGTAAAAAGTGGTTATTCCTTTCTTTTGTTCCTAAGCTTATAAAATGCTATATCACAACAAATTATGCTTATGACATTCGACTTTTTGAAAATTTCGCAAACACCCAACTAGTTAGCTCCATGTGGAAGAAGTGACAAAATCGGATTTGATTTTTAGAATTTTCAACAGTAGGCTGAGATTCTCCGTTTTCAAAAAAATAAAATAAAATAAAATAAAATAAAAAAAGAAAGAAAAAAGAAAAGAAAAGAAAAAAATAAGAGTACTCCTCACTTGTCCATTATTCACGTGATATGATTTTCTTAAAATTATGTGACTATAAATGCATGTGAAGTGGTGATAGATATATTTTTAGGAACAGATTATGCAATACCCTATTAGCAAGTAATATATGCATGATCACTAATTTGCACTTTTAATATCAGAGATAGTTGAGATTCCCATTTTGATGTCCCAGTGAAAGAGATAAGTGACACTGCCTACGACGAATAAAGTGTGGACCGTGCATGAAATGCTTTTCCATCCCATGAGATTAACCAGAAAATTAGCCATATCTCCTCCTCCTCCTCCTCCTCCTCCTCCTCATCATCATCATCATCATCATCATCATCATCATCACAGTATTTGAATTTGTAATTTACAACCGGCCATGCCATGATCCATGGCCACAACACCAACCACAATGGCAAAAATTATAGGGTAAATTATACTGCTGGTCTCTATACTTTAAGTGTAATCCTTGGTGTCTCGAATTCACCTTGGCTCAAATGGCTCGAATTTCTGTTCACCGGTCGGTTGTCTAGCAAAAAAGCTGACAGCTGTGGTTGTCACCTTGTCGACCGCGGCTGTCAACCTTTTTTCCGAATGACCGGGCGGACGACCGGTGAATAGAAATTGGAGCCATTTGAGCCAAGGTCATATTCGAGGTACGTAGCATTGCTCATACTTTAATTTCTGTGTCATTTTTGTGCATACGACATGACACCATTCACCTCTAACTCTTCTTTAATAGGTTGGTTCATCCTACTTTTCCATTCAAGAATGCGTAGTTTATATTGTAAGAAGTAGCTCATACTTCTCTATCCATCTCTAACGAAATTTCGACAACATCTCCCCATGGTTCTCCAAGTACACAACATAGACTTACCTTGTGTAGTACGCACCCGGGGAACATGAGGAGCTACTGCACAAAATCTCTACGAGATAGACTACATTTAAGTGGTAAAACTACTAATTACAATATAGACTTGTGCTCTTGAACTGTCCAAATTGGACAATTCAAGAAGAGCTTCATCAAAGACGACTAGGTATCTCTAATGAAGATTCTTGGACGGGTCTAAGGCTATTTATGCATGCATGGATCATTACTTGCTAAATTAACAACTGTCTTGCTTTTTGCATCCCGGTGGTGCAATCTGAATCAGAATTATCAAGCATACAAGAAGCATTTCTAGCATGAAGCATATTAATAAAGAAACTAAAAGTTTCTACAATGCTCTTGATAGATTATGATATATTCAAGCAATGCAATGCATTACTTTCTTAAATAATAAATAATAATAACCTTCTTGGCAAACCCAAATATCCCGTTGTGACATAGAAACCCATAATTTATTGAGGTACTTACGTGTAGGTCCTAATAAGTGGACTTATTGTCTAATAGGTCCTATAGAAAAAAAATTTCATAAAAAAGTCACTAAATGTAAGTTTTAGCGACAATTTATAAAAATTATGACAAAAAAAGGTCACTAATTATCAATTTTTAGTGACGTATGTAAAAAATTGTCACAAAAAAATTATTTTTAGCGACAATTTTACAAAGATTTATTTTCAATAGGACTTGACGGGAATTAAGTCCAACTATTAAGACCTATTGGTAGTTTTCCCTAATTTTATTAAGCATAAGCAGCTCATCCAGTTCCAAATTAGCACAACTAGTGGCAGTAAAATATACATATATGCTATATATAAACACATATATTGGATATGGAAGTTAAAAACAAAACGTGTCCAAAAAGACCGGAATTTTTGAGGAACAAAAGGGATCCACCAAAAAAAAGATCCTTAGACAAAATCAATGAAGACCAATGAAAGCCAGAGCATATTATTCTTCTATTCAACACCATTCCAATTAGAAAAACTTCAATTACTTCCAATTCCTTTGAAACCAAAAAATAAATAAATAAACTAAAATAAAATAAACTTGAATTTTATTTTTTTATTTTTTTAAAAATAACCACACACACGCACACAAAAAAAAAAAAGAAAAAAAAAAAAACCACTCAAAGCACCCTAAACTCCTTGACTTAAACTTACACCAAATTGAATTTTACTCAAATATTTACCAAATCAAGAAATTCTCAAATCTATATTCAAAATTAAATTCTAAAGTAAGGTCTCAAATTTTTCACTCAGCCATTAGTTAAGTAGCCACTAGTTAAGTTTTTACAACACGGATTCAAGTAGCTCCCTTTCTTTTTATGATTGAAAACAAAGAGCAAATCCCATGTAATATTGCAATTCTAACAGCATATATATATATATATATATAACCGTATACACAAAAAATAGAGAGAGAGAGAGAGAGAGAGAGAGAGAGAGATTGATTTAGCAATCACGGCTAAAATGCATATAATGTGTAGGAAAAGAATAAAAAATGAATCTTGCAAGCTGAAATTTGATAATAAAAAGGCATAAGTACCCATTCCCCTACTTCTCAATAATAAACAGCTGTTTCCACCTCATAAGCAGCACCAAATAGTTTCCACCTCAATCAATCTCCTTCTCAGAACAGGGGAGGAATTAGATTCATGTGGTTAGATCCCCAAAAGCAGTCACAAGGAGCTTTACATTGAACTATTAGTTTTGTGAGTTATTTGTCAGCTAAGGTGAACTAACTTTGCATATTATTGAGTGGGATTTGGCACTTAATAGAATCCATAGGCATCCCTTCAAGCTTCATTCAGACATTGGCACACTATCATGGTTGATTGTTCTCATGTAGATTAATCAGACATTGGCTTTACAATAATTCCAAAAACACAAGATTTAGACACAGAATATGCAAGAGTAGATTTGATTCTCAAAGCTACCAGTTCCAAGAAATTTCACAGAATATACACAGAAATTTATACACACACAAACACACACTCACACTTATACATATAGATCTCAAACAGGTCTGAAAAATCAGAAATCTAAGTTCATACAAAACAAATGCATATATACATGTTCGAAATTAAAGTTAAACTTACAGATTTGAGAAGCCAAATCTCAAACAGGTTTCATGTAGATTAATCGACCAATTGATGAACAATGAGATCAAATAAAAACAGAAAATCAGAAGAGAGAAGCCATATCTGAGTTAGAATGTAAAAAATCTATTAAAAATAAAAAAACCTAAACAAATTGAAACTCACAAAATCGAAAGAGACAATTGCAAATCTGGAGAATCAACCTTCGAATATTCAAGAATCAACCTTGAAATCTTTTGTTAGGTTTTTGTTATTGACAATCCCATTTAACAAAACTCTTTCCAGTTGTAATTTTATTCGTTCTTTTATTTCAGTGAGGTAATGAGTATTTAGATGCGAATCCAACCCGAATTGTGCATATGTAGAGGAGTTTGTGATCTTAATCCTATCATGTTTGTCACTTCGCTGACTATGTTGAGGATTGAGCTACTTAGTCAACAAAATTGCAGTCAAAGTCGTTTGTCCGCTCGAGCGGTTGATTGTGCGCTCGAGCAGAGATGCAATCAGTTCACAAGTTTCACTCGCCTGCAAAAGTACTGAAGCTGTATTTTTTCGCTCGACCGGCCTTTCCTGCGCTCGAGCATAGATTCTTGTTCTGAAACATGCATTTTAATTAGCACGCTCGAGCGGCCATTCCTGCGCTGGAGCGGAGATCGCGATTATGTTTTCTATAAATCTGCGATTAATTCAG